GGCAACCTGTTCCAGTGCCTCACCACCCTCTCCGTGAAGAACTTCTTCCCGATCTCTAATCTAAACCTCCCCACTTTCAATTTCAACCCGTTACCCCTTGTCCTGTCACTCCAGGCCCTTGTAAAAAGTCCCCCCCAGCTTCCTTGTAGCCCCTTCAGGCACTGGAAGGTGCTATAAGGTCTCCCGGGAGCCTCCTCTTCTCCAGGCTGAACAAGCCAAATTCTCTCAGCCTTCCATCACAGGAGAGGTGCTCCAGCCTCTCCCGTATTCATTCTATTTGGGTGCAACTACACGTATTACAATTATTCTTTCAGTGGTGCTGGCTGATTGACATTTTTGTCAAGTATTTTCTTCCTGTTTTGAAGACGTGCGTACTACAGCTGTGTTGGTCAATGAGAGCTGTGTTGGAGGAGCATCCTGCTCAGTAGGAAATAAAATACACCTGCAAGAATTAAGTATGGACTGTTGTTCTAAGCAGGTGCTGGCTGTAAAAGGCTACCTTGGAACATGTTTTGGCATCCTGGGTGTTCTCCCTGGATTGGTGTATGTGGAGACAGGCACAATGCTTTCATAGGAAGGTTGTCTTCAGGTGAAGCTTTCAATATAAAAAGATGCTTTTCCTTCTTCCTGTGTTATTCCAGACTCCATTACTGGCACCTGCTTCTCAGAGTGACAGCTCTGAAATAGTTTTGGATCATTCCACAGACCAAGAAATGAGCGGTTATTCACCAGAAAGCTTGCTGTCTCCTCCTCCCCCCCTCCAAAGAGTTATGGATCCAGGTATATTTCCTTAGATACTTTTTTCAGCAGTTCTCTAGAGGACATCCAAGTAAACCTTAACGGCAGAACTAAGGAAAACAATCATCAGGGCTCATAGTTTTTGATGTCACTGGATTTCAGAGCTGTAGAATTTGGATACTGCGAGCCTGACAGAGGTTAACATTCTGCAGGAGTCTTTCCACTGATGCCAGCTAACTTTTTAGGTTGTATTTATTTGTATTTAGCAAGGAAGGGACCTCATTGGCCTCAGTCTGGATAGAACACGTCTTTTGTGTGGTACATCTAGATCAGTACTGCAATACTTGCTTTCTCCTTTAGGATTTCTAGACATGTCTGGTATTTCACTTCCTGAACTCACTGACTTAACCAAAGTGTCCAACTTGTCTTCGTTGTCCTCCTTCACCACGCCAGCAGCAGACGCTTTAGTGGGTGCGGACAAGTTCATGTCGAATAGTGACGCTTCTGCTTATTTCGGTACGTGTACTGGGGGTCTCCTCTGGGCTGCTGACCTCACTTCTGCAACAGCAGCAGCTCATGCCTGCTCAGTGGTGTCATGCATCTTGGGAATAAGCCAATTTTAAGGAAAAAAATCAGAAAGGGGATTGGCTAAAATAAGATGAAAACAGAAATCAGGTGTAGAAGTGGACAAAAACTAATGGGCTTTTATAGAAGATTATAGAATGTGTCTCTTTTCTTTAAATGAGAATGTTGATGATCCAGACTAAACTGACCTTAAAATTAGGTGTTGCTAAAATCAGCATAAACGAATTTTTGCACCACAGGCCTCGTCTTCACAGCTGTGGAAACAAAATTGCAGTCATCTTAACAGTGACCTGTCTATCTAAAAATTAATCTTTACGCTAAGGATGCCTTTCCCTTTTACAAGGTGGGGTGGGCAAGGGTTGTAACACAAAATAAACCATCTCTAGCGTAAGAATATAGCGGACCAAATGGTTCATGGTCTCTCAAACAACTTGCACCATCAGTTGTTTTGGATTTGGGGAGAATTGAACAAACACAGCCCATGGATTTGACAGCTGTGAAGCTGGTCATGTGCCTATGTGAGGTATCATTCAAGCTGATTTTTCTGGATGTATGGTAGCCAGAGGTGCTCTGTCTGTTAGCCTGACAGATTTTGGGGTGTTTTATTAATAAAGAACTTCCATTTCCCAGAAAATGCCACACCTTTGGACCCTGAAGATGTAACCATGTATTCTGAAGGCTCAGCCAAGCAGCCCGGGTTGGATGACCTACTGCCTTCAATTCCACCTCTACCCTCTTTTGCTCTTCCTAATGAGATTTCGTCAAAAACAACACTAGGAACTGATCCTGACAACCAGGAAACAAATCTGCCCTTAAACACTACTGAGAGCTCGTTAACCACTACTCCGGTGAAACCAGACGATGAAGCAGCATGTGAACAGAAAGAGGAAGGAGCTGCAGATGACCATGAGTGAAGTGGATGCTGCTTTTGTTTGCAGACTGCCATGTGTTGTGGTGCCACAGCTTGGGGTATTTTTCTCATCATGAAAGGATTACGGTTACTCTATTTTGTTAGTGTAGACAATATTATAAAAGAAATCCTATGAACTATATATCCTATTCTCTTTTCCAATCATTGTTTAATAGATGGGTGTGTGTTCAAACTTTGAATGCTGTCCAAAATCACTAAATTAATGGAGAAATTAGTGCAGAAGCATGTTGGAGACTAGTAAAACATCAAGTTCTGGAGTTCACCTTTGCCTACAAATGCTTCTGAATGTATTTATGAAGGCCTGCTGCCTGAACGGTGACACTCAGTGGTGACTCTGTCAGTGTGATTGATGGCATTAAAGACATGTTTGACTGGATAGAAAGCTTCTCTGACAGTACATCTTCGTGAGACACTTCTGTGACTCTCGGGGCATTTCCTACCCCAAGATGTCTTTATTCGTAATTGCTCCCCTGCAAACTTATTTTTCTTGTTTCTGAGTCCTTTCTCTGTAATCACTCACGGACTTTCTCTACAACTGCTTGTGCAGGAAAGGAAGCACTGTGTGGTTTGAAGCTGCAGCATATAGATGGGACAGAGATCGTGTCCGTGGTGGTCTTTAACACAAACAAGTGGGGGATGTTTTTACTCATCTGCTACATGGTGTCAGCACAAAAGCACATGCTGCCCTTGTGACAAGCATTACTCCAGCACATCCTCCTCCAGCCTGTCTCAGGGCTCGCAGTTGAAGGCTTGCATGCCTGCTAAATTCTTATCTCCACTCCTCTTACCAAATCAGCTTTAGGGTTTTTTTGTTAAGGCACTGACATTCCTTCAGCCATTCCATCCTCGAGGCTTCCAGTGCCTCCAACACCCTTTGCAGTACAACCACTGTCAGTGGTCCAAGCGCCAAAATTGCTAAATTGATCCAATACACAAAACAACTGGGTGAGTATTTTAACTAAAGCCTTTTATTCTATACAACTGTGAAACATCATTTACCCTTCTGGCATTGCAGCCTCCTCTGACAATCTTTCCTGAAACTGTGTTTTGGGATGGTTAGAAAGAAGAAAAATTAAAAAAAAAAGGAAGAAAAATTACACCCTTGGCTGATTTCCAACCAAATTCCTGGGAGCAATTCCAGTGCCTATAACAGGACAGCAAGACAGCCAGGAAAAAAACCCCAAACAGTGCCTATGGGAACAAGCATAGACTCTTGCTACTAATAAATACAAGTCAGGACAATTTATCAGGAAAAGCTACAGTTCTGTTTAACCATTTAATTCACAAATATCGCTAAAAATGGGTGGTTATAGCACAGCTGTGTCAAACAGCATGCACAGAAACGAGGATTAAAAACTGAAGCTGACTCTCAAAAGACACTGTTAAAAAGAGAACCACATTGGCTGTTTAAGCAATAAGGTGGTAAGCAGGGCAAAGAGTGCAGAATGGAACGATGTGACTGTTTTCAAATGAAATACGATGAAAAATACTTTACTTTTTGTTTGACCAATACAATCCCCGTAATGGAATTTATTGGGACTTTCTTTAGGCCTCAACCTAAATCTTGATAGCAAGATACAGGAAGGGCAAGAGCATATGTCTCCTGAAGAAACTCAAATGCTACCCTGCCCTTGGAAGGCACTTGTGCTTCTGCTGCAGACGAGAGTCATTTACACAACTGCGTTACGAGGATTTGCAACTTTTTCTGGCTACAAATGGTTTTCTGGGACAGCCCCGCGTTTTCCCTTCACGAAAAGCTGAAATGCCTTTACCCCCTCCCCCCCAATAAGTTAAACTCTATAAAAGACTACTGTGACAGTCACAGATTCTTAGAAATAACGGTGAAAAGAAGATCCGCATAAATCTATAACAAAAGAACAACTGCATATAAAACTTGGGAAAAGAAGAGTAAGTATTTTTATATCATGAATATGAAATCTGCTGAGGAGTTTCTAAAGTCCAACAGTAAACACAGGAAGTTTTTTTCAGAATGGTCTGAAGTGTTAGCAAAACATCACATAGTTTTGGAGCACAGTCACCAAAAATTAGACTAGCGTGCCTTTAGAACACCCAGGACACAGCGCAGGAAGTATTATATTTAATAAAAAACCCATCTCTAAGTTGCTGCAAAGCATGTTCTCTCTCTTATGATGCACAGCATCACCGGACTGACCCTGCTACAACACTGACCTGGTGTTCTTACTCGGCAGGCCGACAGCTCTCTAAAGCAACAACCCAGCTGCAGTATTAGACCAGGGCTGATGTGAACCCTTCACCTGCAATTCAACAGGCCCATTCTTTCAAGTATGCAATACCTGCTTTCTGTTGGTTTTCCAGATTTAAGTGGTAGAAATGTCTTGAGTAACCTGTGAGAAATCACCGTAGGCATTTTATGAATGGAATGTACTTAGAACACCTCGTGTGCAGTTCTGAATTACACCGTGAACGCAACGACTACTATGGCCAAGACGGTTTCGTATCAAGCGTGAGCAGGTGAGGATATTATGTTCCGAAAAAAAACAAAAGCGAAAAGGAAGGAAGCAAAAGTCTGCACTGGATTATCCTCCACTCTCTGTACACCTCACACAACACGAACCACTCGGGAGCTTCCCATCTCATCGGCTGAGACGAGGACAGACTTTAGTTTAAGCCATATAGATATTTTTCCTCTATATTACAGATCTATTAGTCACTTCAATTAAACGTATACTTTCCGTCCACACTGAGTCATTAGAAGTCGCGTCTACCTTAGGGGTTCAGTGGGCTTCTATAGCACTACTCTTGGAACCAGTACAGCGTGGTCAAGTAAATAGGTAACCGCTGGGGTGCGCCGCTCCCTTCACGTTGATTTCTGGCGATAATGAAGCGTCAGATCGCCGCCGCTCTTCAATGTCCGAAGGTCCATATTCGGATCCAAAACCTAAACAGTAAAAATTCATCTTGTATTCCATAAATCTGCAGGACCATCAGAAACGTATAGCGAAAACACTCTGGTTGGGTGTGAACTGGCATCGAAGATGAACCGTGCAAAGGCTCAGATTTTTCAACCAGCAAGAAAACCTGCACGGGGCTGAAACATTCCAGCAGTTGAACTTCATACTACAGCCACTCCTCAGTATTTACTCTTCATGGACTTACAACACTTACTACACAATTCATGATTTTAGAGAAATTTTAAACTCTGCTAGAAATGTGGAGTTCAGAACATTCCAATAATTTCAGAAATGGAAATCTATGGGATTATATCAAGGCCACTTGTTGAGTACGAGTCAGTAATCCTTTCAAGGCTGCTAGTCAGGCCAAATTGAACAGGTCTGACTGATACTACAGAAACCCTTTGATCTGGCTATCTACAGCTGTCTGAACTTGTGTCAACAGTAAGTTACCATCATGTCAAAACCTTGACTTAGTTTTCAAGGTAACAGATAATCTAGAGTATATTTCAAGCTCAGTATTCAGAAATTCACAACTGATTGCTTGCTAGGTGTCGTTTTTGTTCACAGGTTAAAGTAACTTACCTGGTCCTGGCACAGAAGTTCAATCTTCTCCTCTGCTAGCACAGCAATGTCCTCCTCTTTTTCTTGTTCTCCTGCTTTTTCATTATTGGAAGAGCTGGTTGTCTGAGACTCATTATCCAAGTTTATGATTTTCTCATACACGTGTTCCATCACTTTTCTCACCTGAAGCATATCACTTGCTGACAGTCGGTCTCTATATAAGGTAAGCACAGTTTGGCAGGAGAAAACTTGAGAAACTACACTTCTTATCTTCCAATACCTTAATCTGTAGCAAACTATGCAAGTACACAGATCAGGTCTTTGTATTATAAACTTAATAGCAAATTATATAAACTTAATAGTTAATTTTCCCGAGCATCCAGAATACCATGATCATAACAGCTACTTATCCAAAGATTCACACAGCAAAAGGGACCCAGAAAGTGGTAAGATACTCAAAAGACCAAACTAAAAATCAAACCTTGGAGTACTGCACGCAGCCCTCATCCTTTCAATACAAAAAGGGATTAATAAGAGGACAGAGGATATGGAATAAATAGAAGAGGTACGCCAGAATATGCTGTTTGCCCTACTGCGTTAACAGAAGGGCATTCTGAAGTGATGAGCAGCAGCAGTTTTTCCACAAAAAGCCTACGAAGCTCCTCTTGCACAAGTTCTCTGATGGGAAGAATTCAGTGAGACTTAAGAGAGGAATGAGGCATTCGCAGAACATACCAAAAACTGTTGCAGATAAACGGTAGGCATGCTGTCCACGATGCTGACGTCGTATCCCAGGACCTGCACACATTTCTAACCTGTACAGCTCCCCGTTACAGCTCATGTGATAGGCAGACTTCCTTGCACTCCCTACCATCAGGTTTTGTACCTTTTCCTTTTCAGAAGCTATTATCCACCACTGTTAGCAATAGGAAACACAAAACTGTGGTTCTGAACAGTCTAACAATCTAAGTTCCTTTGTTCTCTCATTAAATACCACAAAAGACACAAAGTCTAGTTTCATTAGTTAGTTTCTTACACATTTCTTAGCATAAACTTCAGCAACTGCCCACTGAACCCAAAAGAAACCTACAGTTCTGTGAGATACTCCGATATCATTCAATGCGGCAGGGCCATGCTGCTTACACAACTAGAAACTTTTCCAAATTCAGCAAGCACAATATGATTCTCAGCAAACCATGGTATTTTTTTTGGGTGTTTGGGGTTTTTTTGGCCTGCAATTCTCTTTCTGCAGTTCTGAGTCAAATATGCATTACTTACTTTTTTAGCGTTTTTGCCCCTGATGATGAATGAGGTTGGAGGTAGAAGGGAATCTTATTGAATTTGGGCATATTTTTCTAGAAGGAAACAAATGTGAGAAGTGTTAATTTAGGCTGAACTGTTATCAGCTTCTATTTCCACCAGCTGGTATGTGAAGTACACTCAGCCCCTAATTACCAAAACCCAAGAGAGATCCTTAAATCGACAAAACCACCGCAGCCAAATTCCAAATTACTCCTACTCCTGGGATGCTTCAATCTAGACGATGCACTTATCAGCTAGCTTCTGAATGTAAATTATCATTTAGTACACAGGAAATTTGATAGTATTGAGAGTGCAGCAATATGGAGAGTATTCTCTGTTCCTGAGCTCCACAAAAATGATACCAAAGTGCTTTGAATTCTTTTTCTTTCTGTCAAAAGAAAATGAGCAAAAATAACTGGACACATGAAAAAATAAAGTCTCAAAGAGTCTTGAACACAGACCTTGAGACCACTGAAGTACAAACAGAGCAAAAGTGTAATATGTCATTTCAGACCCCCTACAGTTAAAAGCAAAAAGTAGTTCAACTTAACAAGGAACAGCAAAAAAGCAGAATCTGTACACGTGATACTTACGTCCACAGTGATGTCAATTACCCATTGTGGCACAGTTTCATTAAGAAGCATAGACTCAGTCTCGCCACCGGAATCCCGACATAACAACCTGTGACATACAGAGATAACCTTTGTCAGTGTTTGAAAACAATCACTGTCATGGGCACTAAACAGCTCCTGGGGGAGGACCTGCCCTCTGAATGGGCAGGAAGCTTGAGCTTGGTTAGCTGGCCCTTCATGTCAAACTCATTGAGGGAGCGATCATGTATTTTCTGTGAAGACCAGAAAAAGTAGCTGCAGGAAGATGACAGATCCCTGGAAACAGGGAGAAGTATCTCAGGAGAATATAGGACACAGTACAGAGAAATTTAAAAACAAAGCTACTTTGCTTGTGGTTGGCATGTTTGTGCTGAAGCACGAAACTGGCAGGGGAAGGGGAAAGGCACCCAGCATAAAGCAATTCCTTTTCTGCTTGGGAAAAGTGAGCTTTGGGTGTGAAGCATCTGCTACGCCTGCACGGAATAGAAAGAGCAAAACCACTGTTAAGAAACGTGCACGTACAATTGTGAAACAAAGCCACATAAGTATGTTGTCAGAGAGACCTGCAAGCCACCCTTTCGGTCCAACAAGCACAGCCTGCTCCCCACAACAGTGTCTTTTCAGTGTTCTCCTGGGAAAAACATTCTGTAACACGTGAGACCCACCAGTACGCAATGGATGCAAACATTAAGCCCCAGCTACAGTGTAAATACATTGATACCGCAGAAGAAAACAGTTTTCAAAGCTGAAAACGGTTACCCTGTTTTACTGACCAATGATTTTGGGGCCTATTCAGCCTGGGAAATAAGAACAACAAATAAAACATCCTCTACCCTGCCAATTTAAAACTCATTTACTATGTCAGTAAATATTAAATGCTTCACGGTATTTGTAAGTTTGGCATTCGTTTTGCAGAACTATTACACTCTGACTGATCCATATGTCACAGTTAGGCTTTTCAACTTAGAATGACAAGAAGTGGAAGGGTAATCAGGATCTATCAGTATATTCACATTACAATACAGAACCTGTGCTTCTACCTGCCAGAACTTAGGACTTTCTAATTGGTCATCAATTATAATTTTGGGAGCAGAATCCAAATCTTTAGTGAGTAGTATCTCCTGTCTGAGTCGTTAACATTCAAGAGACCAGCACAAGAGACCTGTAAGAGAAGTTCTACAAGAATGTTAAGTAGCACAACTCCATTCTAAAACAAAGTTCAGTCAACCAGTTTGCAGGAAGAAGGCACTCAAAAAAGATGTCAAAGCTACTACCAAGGGCAATACACAACTCTTGGCTGTAAAACCCCACACCTTGTTAAGTTCAAGCTCACATACTGAGCTGTACAATGCAAAATCATCATCAACAGCCACTTATTTTGCCTGTCAAGGGCATGTCATGGATATACAGTACAGAACAGACTCAAGTATTGCATGTGGTAATGTTTCTGCTTGCACAAAGGAGGCAGTTGTACAGCCACTGAATTTACACTTCTGAGTTTTATACCTGAACAAAGTGCGTCCTCCAGCCTCTCCAAAAATAACTGGTGTATGTGGTGGCACTTGAAAGTATCCATTTCCCTTCTGGACTCTGTTCTCCTGCTCACCATTCACTGCTGGGAAAAAATATACTCAATGGTGAAGACTGCACTAGGCCTTAAAACTGAGTATACATAGACCAAAAAGTGTCTTCTCCACCCACAGCTGATGTATTTCATAAAATAAAATCATGAACTTCATAAACCCAAGGAATTCCCCATTTGCAACACATGGCAAGTATATAAGAAGGAACACCAGAGTAACTAGATCGATACAGCCTTGTGGAAGGCCTATTTCAAAAGCCTTTGAGAAAAAAGGAAATAAAGCTCATGAACCAAAATTGGACCACTAGTTTTCTCCAGTTCCTTAACAGAATTCTGAGGATTCAGACTGGACAACATTGATATTAGAAATCAACTAAAGAGATGCCGCTGAGACAAGACTAGTTTTCCCCTCTGCAATGACAGTACAGAACTCCAAAGGACATTAACTTTGCTCTTCTGCCTGGATTTGCCAGATGTCAAAACAGGGTCGGACTCACATTTCCTTGAAGTTACTGCATTATAAATTGAACTTATTTCCAGATAGTTATAGCAGCGTGGTCTTCAAACCCTGAAGAATGTGATGCCACATCAGATGGATAAAGGAAAATCATTATTTATGCACCTCTTTAACAGTGCAACTTCTAATCTGTCGGATTATCTTGAAACACAGTACAGAAGTATTTAGATGCCTTCCTTTCACTTGAGAATGATCATCTCACGCTGCAGCATCTAATTACTATATTTTAACATGATGTTGAATTCAAGCAACAAGAGAAATTTAAATGGCCCAGTCTCATGAGATGAGTAACTCCTTAGCTTTCTGACCAGCAACACATGTATTGAAAGAAAGGTCAAAAATCATATCAAGCAAAGAAACCAGAAAAGAAAATCTATTCTTTTTTATAAGGGATGAATATCATACTGAAGTTAGAGCAAGTGAAAAATCCTACAGCTGGACAGATTTCTTCATTACACCTCTGATAACAACTGAGAGGAACAATACTGCACATATATACAGATACATCTAAGTTCCTGCCTCTACACAAATTTCAGTGTCCAACATGTACACTTTATCCTCTTAAGTCACTGTGTCAGCTTCTTAACTGTTACTTTTGAAAGGGAAAATGAAGACTAATTCTGTAGTGAATATTCTGAACATTCCCCTAATCCACAGCTATTCACAGAAATCGGTGCAGCATCAGTGTTTCAGCAATACAAAAGCCTGTGTGTTACACTCCTCATACATTCTCTGGCTCTCAAGCTGTAGACTGCCAATACATAAAAGTCTGAGAATCACTAACTTCATCCAGAAAAGCCTGCCAAGTGCTGTAACCCTCCATGGGGATCATTTCTGAAAGAAAAAATTAGCTAACTCTTGGCACAGTCTTTGTCACAAAATGGCAAGATACTGCTCAACTACAGCTTCCTTAATTGCATTATCTGGAGAGACTAATTTCTTAATTGCCAAAGAGAAGACTTTTCAGTCAACTTTGATCTGGGAAGAATTAATTTCAGACTCAGGAATTACCCAATCTTTTATTCTGCCAAATTCAGCCACTATCTTGCATAGCTGTGCTTTTTATCTCACGCCTGATTAGACTTACCATTACCTAAAATACCACTCTAAGGTGGTTTGGAACAGACCAAACCCATGCATTACTTTAATACCTACTTAATACTTCTCCCCAATAAACCTTTCTTTTATTTCATATTGTTCATAATACTTAGAAGCAAACTGGAATTATGTCAAAAGAATAAGGGATAACGTTGAATAACTGAACTATTGCTTTTTGTTGTTATTATCTAGGCTGTTTCTTTTTCAAGTCAAGCCTTAAGTTTTGCCAGTGATTGTTTTTCGTCACCACATCATGTCTGTAATGCACAGAGACAGTTATAAGACAGCAAATCAAGTTGTATCTGTTAAAGAAACAGAAATATAAATAAACAGAATGTATACAAAAATCCCAAAAGAGGAAAATACTAAAATACTAACCATGATTTATTTCATTTTCTTCTTCATCCATTGGATTGATATGTGTTCGAGGCCAATACTCCAGAAGTGCTTGCAGCAAAAGCCCTCCGAGGTTTACTGTCAAGACATAACAAAGTAGAAGTTCAGTTACACAAAAACCATTAGCATCATAACATTCTGCATTTTATCCACAGCTGAAAATGTTCCCAGAAATTTGAGTAGTTCTGTTCTCAAGACAAATTATTTACGGGCACAGAAATGTGCTTATCACCACCTCAGAGCTACATGTTACAAAGCTGATTTTAGAATCACTACTGTTGGATCACACATGCTATAACATTCTCTTCCAAGTTTCAAAATGTTATTTTTTCCTTTTGCTTCTTGAAGGTTTAAAACCAAGTCAAACAGAAAACATGAACATGACTGAAATGTTTCAGAAAAAAGTAAACATTCTCACTGGAGAATTCCCTGCAGAATTTAATCTCAAGAAAACAAGCTCTAAAATCCAACCAGCAACTGACACATGTGGCACTGGAATACTTTGAAACATAAATTCTGGAATTTATTCTGCCTTTTTGTCTCAATAAAACACTAGTATTAGTTAAAACTTACGTTTTGGATCAGATCCATCTGGACTGCTAAATCCAGCATCCTTTGCTGAAACCCAAGCTGCAAAGCAGTCACTTTCATCCAAAGTAATTGTCAACATCTGTTGGAAAAAGACCACCCAGAAGAGGAATGATATAGTTATGTATTAAACAAGTCTATAAATGTATTGTGTTCATAGTTAGCTGGCAATAAAAAACAAAGAATTTCTAAATGTGTGATAGCACACTTCGTTTACCAAACTGTATCAGTGAATAATTGGTCTTGTAAACTGACCATACCATGAGGAAAAATAAAAAAATCTGTTATTCAGATTATTAAGAACTGAGGTAAAACCTGCTGGTTTGCTTCAAAATAATCTAACTCCTCAAATAAATGATGATCCTTCTGCAAAATATTATAACATACTAAACCTTTTTTGAACAAACAGTATATAAAACCACATGAAATACGACATTAGAGCAACAGATTTAGGAGTTGTATCTCACCCCAGTTTTCAAGTCTACCGAGAACCAGTTTGGCACATACACCATTTTAAATCTCTTCTTAATTTCTTCTTCAAAATCTACTTTCCCAAGGTCTTCAACTTTACATGCCTGCACACCAAAAAGAAGTACACAAGTTCTTAAATTTTGAGTATTGAGTCATATAAACACCTCAAATCTTTTAGCTGACTCTCATATACGTTGGAACAATTACAGCTTATGATTTCTCCACAATCACTGTCATTCAGAAACACACCAGTTAAAGGGTCAATTTTTCCTCAAAAAAAATGGAACAACTGTTCATGTGAAGTAATCTTTATTTTTTACTTACTATGTATTTCTGAAGTAGTGGCATCAAGCCAGTGGAGAGGTATGGAAGCATTATTTCGCATTAATAAAACACATTTTCCCTATCACTGAGTAGATAGATGGATTCCAGCATCCTCCATCATCCTTCTGCCTCTCAGTGTCAATATTTCACTACAATCAAACACCAATATCTATTGCAAATCTAGCAACAAATTCAGCTCAACTACTGCAATGGGAACAGCAGCGAGTGAATTTGTGTGCAAATTCTTTCTGTTTTATTTTATACTTTAAAAATAAAAGTTCCTCGAGTAAGTCTATTAACAGGCAAATTCATGTAATCCACTTGCAGAGTCATCCTGAAACCTGCAACACGTGCTTTAAGCAAAGGATTGCAACCTTGCAAGATTTATTTCCTCAAAACCCAGGGAAAGTTACACTAAAGGGTGTAGCTAAAGGTAAGAAAACCACCCTCTTTTCTTCCAGCACCCTCAATAAAGAGTCTCAGCTTTAGAGTGCAGTGATCCTACACATAAGATGACACTGTGACCTGGCAAGTATCCCCATCTCTGACGTGAACATGTATTTAAACAACTAAAAGATGCTTCTGAAACCCGAACGAAAGAGAACTGAATGAGGGTACAGTTTAACATTAGCATTTGACTTTGGTCCTGAGATCTAGTGGTAAATACATACCAACAGTAAACTGAAAGAATTAAAAGCTCTCACTTTCCCACAAAAGTCACCTAGCTAATTTTTTGTACAAATTTACATTCTCCAACTTAATTCCCTTCTTTCTCTCTCCAGTGAGCAACTCAGTAATTCAGCTGAGCACACTTCATCACCAAATCCTGGCTGGAGCACTGCACAGTTCAAGACGTAGAATTTCAAACAGGATTTTGCAGAAGAAATTGCTGACCATCTCACTGGTCTGGGATTCCTGTCCTTTCTCTCTGCACTCTTTTCCCTCTCCTCTGACCAATCACTGGGTAAAGCAAGATAAAGAAACACCACGCCAAGTGTCTCTCTCCTCCAGGAGCAAGTAGCATCAAGCTGGAGCCATGCTATCTTCTGCTACCTTCCCTTCCAGTCCTGCCTTCCCGCCTGCTGTCTTGCCAACTAACAGGAGAGGCAAGAGAACAGAAGGCTAGTCAGCATGCTTACTCGGGATCTGTGCGTTTGTAGCAGCACCTGAAGCACAGGTTTCACTTTTGCCACCTACGCTTTCCGATGCTATTCCACACTGTACAGGGCAGACATGCCCAGAGGCCTCTAGGAGCCCTCTTTGAAACAAGACTCAATCAAAACAAGCAACATTTTCAGGAGAGAATTCAAGGGTCTGGAATTCAGGTGAATGAAAATGTCAACCTCCCGTAAGGCAAAGATGCAGAAAAGTTCAGAAATATCCCTTCTGCAATCTTTATGTTATGTCTTGGGACAGAAGGTCGACTTTCTACCCTAGGAATCTCATTCACTAAAAATAATATATATATAAAGTACAAAATTAATAATCCAACAGTAGATGCTTAACCCAAAATTGTACACTTACCTTCAAGACATCCCAGTATGCCACATTATTATTAGTGTCTTTGGTCAGTATGTGTCTCTTGTCGTTAAGAATGTGGCACTGAATAATACTAGCACCCCCTAGCAAACAAACAAGAATTAAGGTCACTACAGTATTTTTTTTCCTAATATTACATTAAACTGCATAACGCAACATGTGTGAATGTTCTTTGGTTTCACTATTTTATGTAAGACACTGATATCACCAAGTTTTAAACACTGTTTCAACCGTAACTAACCCTAGATAGATAACCATGTTGTTTTTGTTTCAGCTGAAATCACAGTATCAAGTACCTAAAAAACCTGAGCTGTTCTTAAAGATCTACCGCTTCTGCTAATGATAACAGGTTCTATAAGGTACTCTGGAAAACAGCTGTTTACCTTTTATAACCTGGTCAGGCTGTGTACACAGAGGTGGTATAGGATTGGTACAATCATTATCATAATCTCCAGATGCTCTAAAATTATGAATTCCCTTCAAAGTCTAAAAAAAGAAACAAAATAATGACACATTCAAAATAGTCTATAAACTTTGCTTTTATCTGTAACAACTGCCAGTTCATGCTGCTATTCAGATGTTATCCATCCAGTTCTGAGTAAGATAATTTATTTCTAAAAGCAGCATAAATAGATAGCAAAGGCAGAGCTTGATGTCTTCTGCTTAATTTCAATATTAGCAGTTGTGCTGGTTTTGGCTAGGACAGAGTTAATTTTCCCCACAGTAACTGGTAGGGGGCTGTGTTTTGGATTTGGGGTGCAAACTGTTGATAACACAGGGATGTTTTCGTTGCTGCTGAGCAGTGCTGACACAGAGTCAAGGCCTTTTCTGCTCCTCACACCAGCCCCGAGAGGAGGCTGGGGGTGCACAAGAACCTGGGAGGGGCCACAGCTGGGACAGCTGACCCAAGGGATACCCCACCCCATATGGCATCATGGTCAGCATATAAAGCTGGGGGAAGAAGGAGGAAGGGGGGATGTTGGGAGTGATGGGGTTTGTCTTACCAAGTAACCACTATGTGTGATGGAGCCCAGATTTCCTGGGGATGGCTGAACACCAGCCTCCGGATGGGAAGTGGGGAATGAATTCCTTGTTTTGCTTTGCTTGTGCACACGGCTTTTGCTTTACCCATTAAACTGTCTTTTATTTCAACCCATGAGAACTTCCAGTTCTCCCCCCAACCTGCTGTGGGGGAGGGTGAGCAAGCAGCTCAGTTGCTGCCTGGGGTTAAACCACTACAGCATTTTATGATATTTTTAAAGAAAGCTTACAGATCGTAGCAAGTCACAGTCGAACTGCAAGCAACAGTCCAACAGATCCCAAATAAAGACTGCAAAACCCATGACTACTTAATGGAATTCAGAGTGTAAAATATATCACTTACCCATTTATTCACAGAGGATTTCGTTGTTGCAACCCAAAGTGCTGGAGGAGGATCAGCTGATCTATCAAGTTCCATCTAAATAATGAAATCACAGATACTTTCAGGCATGCTTAATTTCATTTTCCTTTGTTTAATTAATATTTGCTCTGTGTAGACCTGCTCCCATACTTGGATATGTCTCAGAGAGAGCACTGCTTTCAGTTTACTACAGAAAAGTTTTTGAAACTCCAGAAAAATTGTTTCAAATATTCAAAAAATAAATTCTGAACATGGACAACAAGTATATAAAATGTGTCTAAACAACCACTATTTAAAGTGGCCTCCAGCATGATGCAATCTTGTCTGATGGACAGTTTGATAAAAGCCATATTTTCTGAATTACTTTGCATTCAGGTATTTCATACCGTTGACAAGAGAATATAAGAAGTCCTGTACTAATTAAAAAGCAGAACTTTGTACGTTTGGCTCTGCAGTTACATTTCTTGGACAATAACAAAGATATTAGAGACCCCTTCTGATCTTTTCCATTTTGAACTGAAATCTCCCAGATTCTGACTTTTTCAAAACTACATTGGTCTATTCAGGGTTTTATCTGAACATACTAAGCCAGAGTTCACACGTAAGGAAGGCCAGATTGCTTATATACTGGTGTCTGTTTCAATCACACACTCCTTACACACCTACATGTTTTCAAGGTCACATCATCTAGACTTAGACAGCAAAAAAAAAAAAGCCAAAAAAGCAGTCTCGTCAAAAGATCCCGTTTGCATGCAGTTTTCTGCAGTTAAGAAAATATCATGTTTAGGTGTTCAAAAAACCCACAATAAATTTCACTCCTTGTTCCCATGAGTATGCAACATATTCTAACAGTGTCCTGTGCATACATATTGCTGCTAAGAAACACCCATTTTTGACTAAAGCCTCAGCCATGCCGGTTTAGTTTCTTAGAACTGTACTAGAGCCTGGTAAAAACAAGTTTTCATGTCTGAAGCATATTCAATTTCAGTAACATTTGAATTTGCACATATGAAGTAGCTGCTGGGCATTTATGTCCTTCAGACAATTAAGTTTCAGATGCAATTTAGGAGCCAGAGCAAATATACTGAAGGTTCAGTGTAGTAAGCACGTGTTACTCAATACACATTCTTCCATATTCTTCAATATATCAATATATCTGACCTCGAGTCACTATCTCATTAAACAACATGCAAGACAATTACACTTTCATCCTGTGAGGGTGCCAGAGCACTGGCACAGGTTGCCCAGAGAGGTTGCCATGTCTCCATACCTAAGATATTCAAAAGCCGTCTGGCCACGATCCTGAGCAATCTAGTTCTAGGTGGCCCAGCCTGAGCAGGGGGATTGGACCAGAAGACACCAAAGATCACCTCCAACCTCAACCATTCTGTGAATTAACCTTAATTACCTTGAGAACCGGTGCCTTTTCTTCACAGATAAGCACACGGATATCAGGATTTCGTAAATCTGTACAATAAATCTTCCTGTCTCTTCCTCCTGAATAAACATGAGTGAAGGCTTCATTGACCTGCAGAGCCCAAACACCTTCATCGTGGACTCGATATGTGGCTATGCATCTCTGCTGCCCAAGGGACCACAGGCGGATAGTCCCATCAGAGCTGCCTGAAAGACACTGAGCAACAACCATCATACTTAAATCAAGTAGGCATTGAAGTGTTTCAAAATAATTTTTTTTTCCATAAAGAGTTTTCGTAATTCTTATGGTTATATTTTTCCATTAAGACGGTGCAAAACGAAGACTGGCAGTTAACAACTCGAGTCACAGGTTCCAGACTTTCTATGCAAACCACCCCCTTCATATCTAGATGGACCTGTAAAAAAAACAGAGCTTTCACCCACCTGCCTCCCTCCCTTGAACACTAAATATCTGTAAAATACTTCTTAAGCTACCTCCTTAATCTCTGACATAAAATAATTACACTGAAAGAGACAGATGATGTTTCTGCATTCTGCAAAATGCCTGTCTCAAGTTAAAGCACATACCTGGGTGCCATCTCTGTTCAACAACAAAGCTTTGACATTGTCCGTGTGCCCTTTGAGTTTCATTAGCTTTGCACAAGTTCTCGGATCCCACACCCTTAGAACCTATGTAAACAGACATTGGATAACTGGCATTAACATCATTCTTCCCACCAATGCATTTTCTCTACAGAAAATTAAGCCGTTCTGAATAAACTGACCCTTATTCCAAACACAGAGATATCCATCACCAAAAATACTTCATCACAAGACCAACATAACTAGATCTTGTGCACTTCTAATGATCAGATGTGAATTTCTTCACTTGATTTTAATTTCATTTGTTCTGGCTTTTTTCTGTCTACTTAAGAAATTAAAAAAATGCAAGTGACTGGAAACAGGATAGTGTAGGTGGGTTAAAATAAATAAGATTGAGAATCCTCTCAGATGGTTGCCGGTCTATCCTATTTTCATTTTTATACTGACTTGGAAATAAAATTCTGCCAAGGTTCGATTAAATAAAAAAAAAAAAAAACCTCACAGGGGACTTCAGGGTGTTTCACCTTCTTTTACAACAAAATGCATGGGCTATCTCTTGTGAACACTAACTTCTCTTGTGACCTAACTTCATTAGGTCACTTAATTTTCCACCTCCTGCAAGGGTCTTACAAATTGCTGGCACCGCTTCTTTCTTACCTGTGGCAACTGCTTCAATTTTTAAAAACATCTGAGTAATGTGCCTCCCAGAATCAGAGCTCTTGTGAAATGTAATGATGTCTGATAGAGAGAGGGGTACACGAGATGATCTGATTGCCTCTTCTGTGTATTAAAGCTATGTGGATATATACACATCTCAAGTGCATCCTACACTTACACTCTCACTTGAAAAAAAAAAAAGTGGTTACCCTCACTGTTAAAAACACAAAAGCTGCTACAGACATGACACTGAAAAGGAGTAAAATCATCTCTTTGTACTAAACTTTGGACTGAACTGGAATGAGCCTTACCAGATTTTTGCTTACCTTTTCAGTGGACCCTGATACAATAACTGTTCCCATCTGATTCATTGCAAGGCTGTAGATAGAGTCTTTGTTCCCACTCAGGGAAGAAGCTAAAATAAAATTGACATTTTCAGTTTTCATGCTGTCAGTTGAAAAACATGCTTATTCATTCAGAACCAGTATTTTAGGGTATTTTAATACCCTTTGATCCATGAAAACAGTGCCACTCTACCCCATATATAGAGTTGCTTTAAAAAAAAAAAAAAAGGAACACTACAGACAGCATACTGCTAGGAAAACCCAATCCAAATTCTTAATCTACCACTGCATAAAACCAAAATAACCCCTCAGGCTTACACTCATTACAACCCTGGTGCCCTTCTGGCAACACAATTCAGTGCCAGGACCATGAAGGTACTCTTGCTCAACTACTTTATTAGAGAATGGTACTTCTACGTGATCTTATAATACGTAGCATTTGGTTTTAAGAGCAGAGATTTTATTTCAAGCCAAGTAGCAGTAAAATTCTACAATCATATATTAAAGGCTTTTCTCTTAGTTCAGTGGAGATGCATTACTGACGTTTACACTGCAGTGTCAGAATGTGTTCCTTGAGCATAGATGTGAAAACCATATTGCAAGTCCTTAGCATCACAACTACCATCAGAGTTGAAGAATTCTGTACCATCCAGCCTACTTTTGGGCAGATTATAGTACAATCCCTCAACTGGGAAAAGCAGAGACACAGAAAATTAACATCATCTATACACAGAGAGAACCATTAGGCATTTCATCAAGCCTCAATAGCATAACGATCAGTATGCCAAAAAGGCTGAGAATAGCAACAAACTGTATTGCCAGCAAAAACGTGACACTTTACATAATGATTTATAAATACAGTGGAAATAAGTTTCTAACACAGTATTTGTGACCCAATATCATAAACATTTTGTCACAGTGGAAGAATTATGCAGCTTTACTTCAGGATCCTCTTAACACCTAGCTATGGCTATCCAAACATTAACTTTCAAATGAAATCTATTATTTGTAGCCAAAATGAAATAAAAGTCTTCCACTATCCAGAATCTGTATTCTGGAGATGAAGGCAAAAAGCAGAACTGAAAATGCAAAGGACAGCACACTGTTCAACCACCATATTCATTCACGAAAGGATAGTGTATAGGGTTACTAAGTGCACAGAAGCAAAATTTATGCCAGAACAGAAGCAAAGCTCAACTCCACCCTCCTCTGGAAGGGACCACCTCTGGAAAGCAAAATCTCTCCACTTAATTTAAATTGCAGGTATGCTGACTGAGAGACTCTTTAAAAAAACAGGCTTCCTTTTAATGCTGGCTTGTGTACACTGCTTCCCTGTAAACAGACAGGCAATTAATGAACAACAACAGTCTTCATTTGCACGCTGAAAAAAAATCATTATTGTTAGAAAGGACTGAGGAAACCAGCTTTTTTAAGGACATAAACAGTGTTCTTCACAGCAGAAACACTGTTAGTTGGGAGCATTACAAAGAAAGAAAAATAACACCCCCCTCTCCCTCGGCTTCTCCCCTTCCTCCTCCTTATGAAGCATTACTGTTCTAACTCTAGAAATGCAAATTTATTTCTGTCATCTTAGAGGTAATGTCTCCACTTTCATTTGATCTTGGGCTCAAAACAAGCATCAGCTCCTCAGTACTCCCCACCTCCCATTTATGATTCACTTGAATCACGTAGGTTCTGTATCGCTGTTGCAGTGTTCAAGAGATTTTCCCTCTCCTGCTCCTGCCCCGCCATCCCCCGGCTGAGTTTTCCTGTGAGCTGGCAAATAAATTCTTCCTTCAAAGACTCCCTGTTCAACCAGAAGATTTCATAACTTAACAGTTACCAGCTTCTGGGCAATATAAGGTAAAATCTATTTATTTATGTGCAGTTGTGTGCCATCCCAATACTGCAGTGTAACACAGCTCATTCGAAGCATCCACAGGCACACCAACATAATGCTACACTCGAATTAAAAAGTCCTGAAGTCAGAACAAATGCAGAACTGACAACTCTGCCCACCAGATATATCTCTGGTGTTAGAAGCTACCAGATATATAGAATTAACACACCTTTCAGAATTAGCCAAAACTTACTCAAAAAACCCACACCAAAACAACTACATGCTTGAGTTTTATTCACATATCCCTGAAATTTCTTAAAAGCATGTTGTGTTAATTCGAAATTTTAGCTTTGTAGACTTTTCATGAGTCATTCCTAACCTATGAATGAGGAAGCAAGTAGTCTTATTTAGAAAATTCAACTGCTGCAGTGTAGCAAGAAAATAATGTATCAAACGAAGTATAAAATGAAAGAGATAGTCACTTTTTACACTATTTTTCCAATCTATCATAAGCAGCAAAGCACACTGTGCTCAAACTAGACCTTTTTCTGGAAAAATATATTGTAAAACAGCCAATACAATCTTGAGGAGTGGTGTCACACTTCCTAGAAGACAAACTTGACCAGCTCTTTCCTGACTATTCTAAGAAAGCAGTGTCGGGATTGTTCTATGGGGAAAGATCTCATAATCTACTATAATGCCTTTATTGGGACAGAGAAACAGGAGTGATCACTTCCTAAAAGATGATGATGACAACATTAGGGATTAAGCCTGAAAAGTGGAATCTACGGGCAGTTTCCCTTTCTAATATCTAGGGAGTAAGATCTCATTACTATGCTCTGTTTACACATAATTAGTCCTTAGTATTCATCTGCCTGGTTTTAATCTAATTTATCTATTTATTTTATTCTTCTGACAGACAGATTTGATAGATATACCAAGTGCTGCTTTAGGAGCTGTACTGCATTTTTTGCAGCACCGATATAAACAAAAAAAACCCCCAGACTCAAATTATAATACACAGAAAATGCACTGGGAAATAACCTAAGGGAAAATTTCTGTAACAGGTTAGTTGAGCAACAAAAAGCTCTCAAGGTAAAGCTCTATCAAGCTTCAGTGAATACAGCACATTACATTTCAGGAGAAAAGGTTCAAAGAGACCCATCTTCTGTTCTAAATGCCATGACTGTTGGCTGCTCTACATTTTCAGCTATTACATAATGCTACAAATGGACTGATTGCACACCAAAACTACCTTAAGATTTCTTTCACGTTTTGTGTTAACATGTAAACAGGTATCTATCGTTTCAAATTGATCTTGCAGATTATGCTGCTGAATAAATTGCATTGTATCACCTCCCCTCCTAGGTACCTACTTGTTACGGTGTTATTTGAGGCAGTCAGTGCTGTTAGAGTATTTACATCCCAGAGGAATATCTGTCTGTCCAGCCCGGCAGATGCCACCAGTTCTTTATCTTTTGCATATGCTAAAGCTTTCACATAATCCTACAACAAAGTAAATATAACATGAATCAACAACATTTAAATATTAAGATATAGGATAAAGATTGTCAGTGAAAACACACAGTATCCACAGATAATGTTTTTCACCTTATGTGTCCTTAGTGTTGACATGCAAAATCCCTTGTGTGCATTCCACACTTTAACAGTAGTATCTGAAGAAGCAGATATCACTGAATTGGAAAGAATAAAGAATAAACTTTAAATGCTTATATCTTACTTCAGAGTATATTCATACTACTCTAATTTGCTTTTCCAAAGATTAAAAGAATCACTCATATACTGATTGAAATTTTCATTAAAACATCCGCTTACACTATTCATCAAATTTATAATACACATCACTAATTAATTTTACATGCTAAGAAAAGATGGAAATAATTAAAGCAGCAAATAATATACTTCTATACACAATTTCTGAATACTGTAGTTTTCAAATATTTAAGTACTTACAGGTTTTACCATTGCAGCAGAGCACAATATCATTTACCCAATCTGTGTGATGTTCCATAGACGCTATATAAGGGTCTTGCTGCAAATTAAGAAAAAAAATGTTTATAAGAACTTATCACAAATGGAAAGGATTGTGACTATCAGATCCTGTGGTGGTATTTTCTTCAACCTTCAAATGGATCAAATGTTGCCCAATGCAAAGTTGCTTGAAGTCACTGTTCCAGAACGTTTTTGTGAAAGGACTGTACAGCTATCACAGTATGAGCCATATCAAAATGATCTTCCTATCATAGTAACTGGCAGCTGTTAAAAAACAGTATCAGATGTATACCTGTAGCCAGCTTACCAGCACGGTAATTTGGCAAAAGGTAGATGTAGATTCAGGAATCCTCTCATGGCTCACCTTGTGCTGATTGACACTCCATATCCTTATAATAGAGTCGCGACCTGCTGTGAAGAGTCTGTTTAATGCTGGATCCAGCTGAAGTGCATTTACCCCATTTCGGTTATACTTCTCCACTTCATCTCTAATCACATAGGAGACCTAAAATGCATTTACACAAATCCAAGTATGGTATTAAGATATTGACTTATCCATAAAATCTTAACACCTAATTTCATCTTTGTGAGGTTCTTGGATAGAAAATACTATGAGCTTTACAAGCATTAAATAGGTCTCTCGGAGAGTTACCAACACCACCTCAGTCATTTCACTCCCCCTCAAAAAAAATGGGTTAGATTCAGAAAGAAGGTATCAGCAGTGCTAGAACTGGAGCCCAAAGGATTATTTAATCATTACAACTCAAGATTAGATCCAAAGAATCTTTAGTTCAACTCCTTTTTTCCTAATTATTCCTTTAGTTTCTTTCTGTATTAGATACTGGTGTGTATAGGTTATTTTATTGTACTCAGAAAAGGAGATTTAAGGAGACATACTGCAAAGGCTACCGCACACTCCATTATTACTGTTCAGTAAACACTATTATAGGGCACTGTAATTTCCTCAAAGCTACCCCATCTGCACCGTACTGCATCTCTCCTGATCACAGCGTTTAGGCGTTACAATATGGAAAGCCCTCACGCTTCGAGAAAAGGAGGGGCTGCTGCCAGCTATACCTCTTCCCAGACTCTGCAATATATAATCAGAACAACAAGGTAACATTTTAGGCTTGGTATAATCCAACCTGCCCACAGCAGAAATAATTTAAAGACATAAGTACCAGTGTTTTGAAAACCGTTTCAAGTAGCCATCTTGGGCTAGAGATCTGACAGCAATTTTTCACTCCGCTAACTGCATTACAGAAGTATAAACAAAATGTTTTCCAGATCAGATCTCAGTTACACAAAATAGAACCAACAAATTAATGTCCAGTTGTCCTTATCATGGAAGAAATATTTTACAGCATCACAGATTCTATGCCACAAGAATTGACAGGCCCGTTTGCTGAATGTGGGCAACACCTCAACTGAATTATCCCGTCCCAGTGCAGCACAGTAAGAGAACTGATGCTTCTTGAAAACACACAACTAAGCACAAAATCATTCAGGTTGGAAAAGATGTTTAAGACCATCAAGTCCAACCATTAACCTAACACTGCCAAGTCCACCACTAAACCACATCCCCGAGCACCACATTTTCACTTCTTTTAAATACCTCCAGGAATGGTGACTCAACCACCTCCCTGGGCAGCTCATTCCAATGCCTGACAGCCCTTCCTGTGAAGAAATATTTCCTAATATCCAGTCTAAACCTCTCCTGGTGCCACTTGAGGCCATTTCCTCTTGTCCTATCACTTGTCAATTCGGAGAAGAGACCAACCCCCACCTCTCTGCATCTTCCTTTCAGGTAGTTGCAGAGAGCCATAAGGCCTGCCCTGAGCCTCCTCTTCTCCAGGCTGAACACCCCCAGCTGCTCCTCACAGGAATTTTGCTCCAGACCCTTCCCCAATTCCGTTCCCTTCTCTGGACACGCTCCAGCCCCTCAGTGTCTTTCTTGTAGTGAGGGACCCAAAACTGACCCCAGGATTCGAGGTGCAGCCTCACCAGTGCCCAGTACAGGGGGACAATCCCTGCCCTGGTCCTGCTGGCCACGCTGGCCACCCGGTCCCTGATGCAGGCCAGGACACTGTTGGCCTTCTTGGCCACCTGAACACACTCCTGGGCCCATATTCTGCCACTGTTGACCAAGACCCCCAGGTCCTTTTCCGCTGGGCAGCTTTCCAGCCCCTTGTCCCCAGGCCTGTAGCTCTGCAGGGGGTTGTTGTGGTCCCAGTGCAGGACTCAGCCCTTGGCCTGGTTGAACCTCATACAGTGCCCTTGGCCCATCAATCCAGCCCATCCAGATCCCTCTCTAGAGCCTTCCTGCCCTCAGGCAGATCAATACTCCTGCCCAACTTGGCGTCATCTGCAAACTGACTGACAAGATGTGCAATTCTCACCTGGCCTTGAGCTTGTAGCACCTTCCAGTACCTGAAGGGGCTACAAGGAAGCTGGGGGGCGCTTTTTACAAGGGCCTATAGTGACAGAGCGACAGGACAAGGGATAATGGGTTTATATTGAAAGTGGGGAGATTTAAATGAGATATCAGGAAAAAAAAACTTCACAGAGAGAGTGATGAAGCACTGGAACAGGTTGCCCAGAGAAGCTGTGGATGCCCCATCCCTGGAAGTGTTCAAGGCCAGGCTGGATGAGGCTTGGAGCAACCTGGTCTAGTGGAAGGTGTCCCTGCCCATGGCAGGGGGGGGGGAACTGGATGGTCTTTAAGGTCCCTTCCAACCCAAACCATTCTATGATTCTATGAAATCATGCCTACATTGCTAGAAAACCGACACAGACTACTGTAGTAAAAGAACGTTACAAAGCCAGAGTTTAACATGATACAAAACACAAGGCAAAGGGATGGACATCAAATTCACACTGCTTTCAAACCCTTTGAATAAAATCAATTAAAATATTCAGTTAAAAGTACTAAGTATGGGTAGATAAGACACAAATTAAAGAAATTCAAGAACTAAAGGTCAGTAGATCAAATCTGATGTTTAGTTACCAGGGTGAACAATCTCTTCCTGAAACAGTGTCAGACTCAAGAACAGCAGGGACCCTTCAGCTCTTGCTCCTCCAGTCTGCTAGTAGGATTTTTTTTTTTGATAAATCCTCAATTTTTTTTGATTTGTTCCTCTTCTGTCAGGTACCTCCCATATTTGTTATATTTTCAGGTATAATATAGAGCTCTTTTTTCCCCTAATAAATAAGAGTGTCAAGCTATGTTAGTCACCCAAGCATTGTAAGGAGCTTTTTGCTCAAAAAATGGTACTTTTTTAATTTACAGGAGTTCAAGTACAGAACAGCCATAAATAGCTATTTTAAAGATGTAAAAAAAAGCAAATGGTGGCTTACTCTAGTAAATAAGGTACTTCTCATATAAGATTGATACTTTCATGGAACTGTGGAAATCGAGAGTCATATTTCTATATTAACCTTGACAGAACTAAAGTAGTTTCATAATTTCTTCAAATGCAATGGATAAAATATTTTCTGGATGAAGAACTAAATATTGTTCTTAATAGAGAAACTAGCAGTGAAAAAAAACTCACAGTGATTAGATGTAGTAAAATAATTTTCACTACTTTCTATAATGACATTTGCACAATTATTAGATTTACATCTTGAAGGCCTTGAAACTGTGGCTGTTTGTTCAACTGGGCACTGTTTTCCCATCGTTCAAAGACGTGACCGGGAAAGGCTGACAACTGTTTTCCACTACCACCAGTGCTGAAATATTCAAATGAACGTCAAGTTTAATTTGCCCTTTATTCCTTTCAATAACTTCCACACATGACTTTAGTCAAACATCTTTTGTTTAGCTTTTAAGAGAACTGAGACAAAGAGAGGAATTACATTGTTTCAAGCTTAATGAGTCTGTGGTAGATCTCAGAGCAAAGGCTGTATCTCAGTACCAGTTCAGCATTAAACCTAACATCATCCTTATTCCTTCCTGTGAGAAACTCGACAAAGTAACTGCTGTAACCGAATTAAAAAAGACTAAAATCTTATTCCTTACTGCCTTTTTTTTTTGCATGCAAATACATGAGAGCTTAGATGGAAAAAAGATGGTAAAACAATAAAAAAAAGCTTGACACATACAAAATTATCCAGCAGCAACTGCTACTGTTCATAGAATTCAACCAGTTACTCTTGTCTCTCCTCAGACTTAAAATTCCACAAAGTTTTATTTTCCATCCACAGAAGAAACGGTATACCTGCCCTGATAAACTGTCTTACAAATTTAGGATATAAGAATAAGAAGGAAAAGAAAGCCCTATTTTTACAAAGAACAGAAAGTGGTCTACTTTTGCAAACCAGGCAGACTGAAATAAATATCTTGTATATTAAAAAAAAAATAGAACAAGACACATAAAATACATGGCTGAACTAAAAATAACCTCACGAGCCATTTGCTGTACACCGCATGGAACCTTTTAGAAAGAGAGGTGTAACACCAGAAGCATCCAGGATTGTAACAACCACATTAATTATATATTAACACAGAGGGACAAATTAAGGGTTCCATAAAATCTGTTAAAAGGGTGTTGAAGTGCCTTTCTTAACACAGCGAACTTAAAATGAATCCATAAAACCAACAGCAACTTGATTTAAAAGACCTGACATTTGTCTACGAGTGGTGGATAGCAGGGAAGTTGGCTAAACTGAAAAGTTCACTAAGACGAGTAAGTATGTGCATATACACACATACCTAAACAACGTAAAAGCAACCGGCTTTTGGCTGAGAAGAAAGGGCTGTGGTAAAATTCAACTCTGACCTGCGGCATACACATCCTTATTGCTCTAGATAAGGTACTGGATTCCGCCTGGAGAGGACTGAGGAGGTCACCAAGAAGTTGCAACTCCAAGCACCAAATGGCATTCGCTTCAAACACGGCAGAAGGAGAGCACGTTCCTGCTTTGTTCACTGCGCTGATATGCCAAGTCAGTTGCAAACCACAAAGATGATAATGACTCTGATATAGATCACAGTCGTTTGATTGTCATGATGGCCTGGGAGGGGTAAGATTTCTGGGATATGAAACATTTTAATAATGACCAAGGCCTTTTACATTTATGCTGCTGTAGGTTTTATAAACTCCCGTAGCGAAGAAGAATCACTGCAGCAGTACACAAACATTACAGGGCGATGGACACCCATTAAAAGAATTTGTGGGATTCAGTACCCTAAATGGATCAGGACTAATCATTTTAATGACTAAGAGCTCCAGAGATAAAGCTACTGTTAACGGATATGTTTCAGCACACAAAGCCAAGAGAATGTCTTACAGGATCTATGATGTGTTTCCTTCGTGGATGAGTGTATCAGCTGATCTGAAATGCTGTTACATTACGTGTCTTATAACAGATGGGCAGAATATGCTTTTAAAAATACCAACACACCATCATGGTGGATGAAACAGTGATCAGCCGAGCTCTGACGGCACTCATTCCTTGGTTATAAGTAGAGAAAAATGTCAAAGACACAAATGCTATTGTGTG